TAATTTTTAGCGGTAGCAGTTAATTTATGACTACCCTACCCTTTAGTACGATAAAAATATATATTAAGAGCAGTGCTTGTATTTTTATTGCATGACTGTATATTTCATTCCCTGATGTGCAAGTACTTTCGCAGCAAAAGGAAAAAAAAAAAGGAGAAACCTTCAACTGAATACTCTAGCAAAAAAGTTCCAGCGGGCACCTTATTTATTTATGTCAACTATAATACGAAAATATAACGCAAAAATTAGATGCCTGGGAGTTTGTGGGATTCTATATAGCAGGACTTTTTCTATATTTGCTTGCAAATTGATGAAAACAAAAGACAGAAAAATTTGTTTGATTGCTGTTTCACGTTGTCGTTAAACTTGGAAAAAAAAAATGGGGTTTTCCAAAAATTAAAATTAAAAAAGAAGAGTTGAAATTAACAGCATTTTTAACACATAAAAGAAAAAAAAAAAAAAAGATAAGGTAACAACGTGAATAAGCTACTATTCAACGGGACCGGTGCCTTAAAACTGTATATTCACTCTTCACTTCCCATTCTTCTTCGGTCAAGCTTTCCATTCCCCATCCATGTCGATGTACCTGTTCCTGGCAGCTCTTTCCTATCTGTCTATGAATAATTCTGCTTTGTTTATGGCAGTTTTCACGTTCAGGAATAGTTTTTTCTCTACGAAAATTGAGTCTCGATCAAGTGCTCTCCCATCTGCTCTATAATTGGATTTTTGAACTATCTTCTACTTGTCTCTCAACCTTATCCTTCGTCTATAACTTCCTGAGTGATCAAGTCTTTCTGTACCGAACAATTTTAACATGTTTCCTTTTGCTACAAGTTAATTTTTTTTTAAAAAAAAAAAAATAAGTGTGAGATTTTGAATCCCTACCACTTTATAAATCACCTAACCTAATCCGCCACCTGCTGTAAGTTAATATTAAAAACTAATTCAAAACGACATCAATTTTATAACTTAATGGATTAATTAGCTAAACATTGAGGAAATCCCATTTTCGGAAAAAAAAAAAAAAGTGTCGTGTCGTATACATTTTCATACTAATCAAATAACATCCAACTTACAGTTAAACTACTCATCAAATCAAATCTTCATTGACAATTTCTTTTAATTCATTGGTTTCTTCCACCAACAATCCGGTTGATGATGGAGAATGGATTAACACTGGGGTTTAGTTGAGAATCCAGACTAGGGTATCTGGATGAAAAGTTGAACAAATGATATATAGAGATTTTTATTGTTTTTGTCTTTGTATTCTCTGAGAAATTAAAATGGGCTAGAGTTATATTATTAGAAAAAGTTGGTTCAGCAAGGCAAACAGATCCAAACTGGGAAGTATGTCGAATAAAATAGTTAACCAGAATGAGTAAAGCGATAGAGAATATTTCCAAATTAAAATGTGGCATCTCGGAAGGAATGAACTTATCTTTCAACTACCAGTAAATCCGTATGGTAACACGAGTGGCCACCTAATAGGCTAATTTAGGGACCATCAGAGGCAAGCCATCGATTCACCAAGTACAGCCAGCTTGTCAAGATCCACTCCTAAAAATTTTTAAAATATATACATAAAGAAGTGCCCGTTTGATAACATAAAAAAGTGCTGAAACTGAATTCATTCAGACATTCAGATGTTGTGGGTGTTTGATAAATAAAAATTCATCTGCTGAACTTATTAAGTGATGTTGAATTTATATGTATTTTTTTCAGCACAAGAATCGTAGCTGAATGTTTAATTTGATAAGAATCAAGAGATTTATTTCAACTATTTTATATTATCTACCAAATATATCCCTGTTTGTTAATTACATTCAAAATCCTTATCTAATTAAACAACCTAATATTCCCTATTCAAAATCCTTATCTAATTAAACAAAACAACTTGATATTCTCTATTCAAAATTTTTTTTAACAATAGTATTTTTTTGCAGTAATTTTCATCCACAAACATTTATATTTTGATATATATATTTTTTGTGCAGATAAATATTATTTATGTGATGTAGCTTATCCACACACACGTGGTTTCATGACACCGTATCGAAATACTAGATATTGGTTGTCTGATTTTCGAAATGCTTCTCGTCCAAGATCAAAAGGAGAACGCTTTAACCAAGCACATGCAAGATTGAGAAATGTAATTGAACGTGCTTTTGGAGTATTAAAAACTCGTTTTCCCATTCTCAAAACGATGAAACCATACCCTTTTTCCACACAAAGAAACATTGTCATTGTATGCATTGCTCTTCACAATCATTGTCATTTTCATACCTAACAATTTTAAGTTAATTAAATCATAGGTTCTATTTCCTTTTTGGATTAAAAGATAGAAGGGCAAAATTGTACAATTTAACTTATTAAGTATTAAGTTATGAATATTTATCAAACAGTATAAATAGATTCAGCATTAAGATTCAGACATTCATATATCTCTTTTCAGTGCTTAAAATTCAGCAAATTAATTATTTCAGTATTCAGAATTCAGATTCAGTGTTATCAAACGGAATTCAGAATTCAGAATTCAGATTCAGTGTTATCAGAATTCAGATTCAGATTCACCAAGTACAGCCAGCTTGTCAAGATCCACTCCTAAAAATTCTTAAAATATATACATAAAGAAGGGGGCAAGTAAAGCTTTTTTTCTTGGCAAATTTATCAAATTGAAGTACAAAGTGTTAACATTAAAGACGAGCATCTTGATTATTTCTTAATGTACTTATGGTACTTAGACGGAATGCATTGCAGTTTTTCATTTTCGTCAGTTGCCAAAAGTTTGTATATATGTCTACTTTTCTTGAATGAATATTTACTTCCTTTTATCTGTCCTGTGCAACAGAAAAATATGTAGCCCTACACAGTTGTTTGTTTACTTATTAACTTTAGATAAACTTGAATTCTTGGTTTATAGGATTGATTGGACGTTTTCCTTCAAATTATTGTACATCCAAAAGTTTCCTTAACTTTCTGACTCGAAGAGTGTTTGCCTATTTTGAAGAGAGAGAGAGAGAGAGAGAGAGAGACAGAGAAAAGAGAGGTAAACAGAAAAATAGTTCAACCAACTAAACCAAGAGCAACTTGTTTTGCCATGAAAATGTGATTTACCATTACACATATACACATTAAACAGAGAGTATTATCACCAAATAACTCCATCTGCGCCATATTTTATTTCTCATTTTTCATCCAAGTTATCTAATGGCCTATGTCATGGGGTTCTCCTCATCGTCTGCAAATCAAGTAAACTGGTCCTCCCTTTTACTGTTATCTGTTTATTTTTCTTGACCTCAGAAAATTCACGAAAAAATCAACGGCTGACTGGGGAAGAATAGCAGCAGAAGAAGAAAATAGAAAAAGAAAAGTTATTGGTGCTGAATTATCAACGTTGGAATTCAGTCTATCTCAAGCCTAAGAATTTGAACCTGTAAAGTGATTGTAAAGCTTATCGGCTTATCGTCCAATCATCTTTAAGGCCAAAGAAGAAAACCGGTACAATAGAGAGAAAATGACTATACAAGACCTTATCTCTGCTGCAAGATTAGAACAAAAAAAGAAGCCAAGCAGCTACTCCATTGACTCTGTGTTAGTTGTCTCTAATTGTCGTTTGTGTGATGAATATTATCTTAAACTGTCAGTCAACGCCCATGATTTCCTTTTTTTTTTCTTTTACCTTTTTCTTATCCCGGTTCTTGAACTAGTATATCCCAGATCCCATAAATCTTGTTGATTAAATAGAATTGGTGGTTTTCTGCAGATTTTGGAATTTGGTGTTGTTATTGTGGGATGCATTCTTTGTGGTTATGTGGTCCTTAACCGAATTGACTAGATTATCTTAGGCACAGTAGTCTTCCAAAGTATCACCAAAAATAAAGAAACTCATAGTTCATGCAAAAGCATAGTATAGAGAAAAGGATTGTGGGGGCGAGGGTCGACCATGAATAAGGTTGCCCGTACACTAAAAATTGCGTGTGCAAGAGAGACAAGCTTTTGCACAGGTTAGAGCCAGTTGTGATGTTGATTATAACTGTTAACCTCCTAAATGTCTAACTGGATTGTTGTGGAATAGGATATTCTGTAACAATAATTCTACTTTGTATTGAACTCAAATCCCCATCTGGTAGAGATTTAAAGATAGCACGTAAGCTGTTAATTTGGTAGAAAATTAGCCTATTTGCTCGTCTGCTTGCAAGACATGGAGACAGAAATTTTGTGCAACTTCTTTTGAAATAAACAAAATAAATTTGTTGTTGTAAATGTGCACTAATGGCAAAAAATACATCATATATAGAACAGATACAATAGATACAAAAAGATCTCAATATCGATTGGTGCATCACATTTGAAAAATCAACAAAACTAATACTACGAGACTCCAAAAATCTTCCAACATCAGATGAATCACTGTAGTTCTAAGCTGCTCTTGTCTTGAACAGTCAAATCTAATATAAAACTATTTCAAACCCATTAAAAAAATGTATTTCTTAAGTTTCTATATCTAAGAAAACAAATATAAGAAATCTCCATTCTGACAATAAAATTAACAAAAAAGAAAAAAAAAAAAAGGGATAGCATTTTGTTGTGCTGCTAGTTTAGTACCAATAGGATAGAGAAGATATTTCACTCGGGAAAAAGTTTTAAAATTGGAGATTGCAAGTTTCACAAAAAGGCTAAATGAATGAATAAATGCTATTACAATAAGCTATTGTAAAAGATAGGTCTACAATGGAGTTATGGACTTTTTCTTTATGAAGTCAAAAATAAAAATGGGAATTTTGCCTGTATGATTTGGTTGAGGAATGTGTGTTTATGTTTTTTTTTCTTTTTTTTTTTTTTTTGGGGTGGGGGTTGTTGATATGGTCCTTATACCGATCCATAGCAAACTAACAGCCTTATGCCACAATTTCCTGTGCAGCTTGCTGAACATACTGTGACATGCAAAACCAAACCACCAGTCCAAGTCAACTTCTTCACAACCCTAATATCGAGAGAAATACCTCCATTACCAGCATAAAAGGCGTACAACATCTATTCGGCATCATACCATTGGCTCTCTCTATTTCAACCCTTCCCCATCCATCCACTCCATCACTCTCCAAACAGATAGATATAGTAATTCAATGACGAAGCCTTGCTGTGATAAGGAAGACATGAATAAAGGAGCTTGGTCCCAGCAAGAGGATCAGATGCTTACAGATTATATCAAGAAACATGGTGAAGGTCATTGGCGAAACATCCCCAAAGCTGCAGGTGTTTTTAATTACTCATTTTTGTCTGTTTGTGTTACAATCTCCAAATAACAAGAAGAACAAAATAGAACAATTTCTCCATCTCTTCTGTCTTTTTTTTTTTAAAAAAAAATATCCCTCCATCTTTGTTAGTCTTGTCTGAACTCCAGAAAGCACCGCTGCAAACAAGATACTAGCAATTCGACTGTTTTTTTTAATGTTTGTATTTAACCATAGAAAAGACAAAATACAGAAAGAGTAAAATGAGAAAACCATTTTTTATTTATGTTTCTCATCCCCAAATATTTGTTCTTTCTTTTGATCAGGCCTGCTTCGTTGCGGCAAAAGTTGTAGGCTGAGATGGATAAACTATCTAAGGCCAGACCTTAAAAGAGGCAACTTCGCTGAAGATGAAGAAGACCTTATCATCAAGCTTCATGCACTCCTAGGCAATCGGTATAAATATGATTTCCCAATATTTTTTTCTTGTTTTACATTTTGCTTCCAAAATTGCACTTAAGATTGAAGTATAATCTCATAATTGTACTTAAGATTTCTTCGGTTACACAAAAGAAAAGGAGTTTTTTGGGATCACAGATTGTTCTCAAATTAGACACTAATACACTATTGAGCTAGATGCATATTGTAGTTTCTACGACAGTAGCATTATACCAATTTTCTCCTTTTCCAAAAATGACACCATAAGACCTGTTGCAAAATATTTGTTTTATGCAATCATTCAACGATATTGAAAGATGAGAATTTGCTAAATCAGGTGGTCATTGATTGCTGGGAGATTGCCAGGACGGACAGACAATGAAGTGAAAAACTATTGGAATTCCCATTTGAGAAAAAAGCTAAAAAGCATGGGAATTGATCCAAAGCACCTTCGTCTGAGTCATTATCTTGCCAGGCATCGAATCCATGGCTTTACGGCAGGTGAAACTTCATCAGCCATAAAAAATTACCAACCCTCTCCTCATGATCAAATAAAATCTTCAGGAATTGCAAGTGATCAGCACCAAGTTTCTGATGCTGGAAGTTGTGTAGATGATGATGATTCAAGTACCATTTTGCCTGATCTGAACGTGGATATAGCATCTGACTCTTGTCTTCCTTCAGGAGCTACTACTGAAGAAAAAAAAGCATCGACTTCTCTTCCATCAGAAGATGCAGTTAACGAGAAAACCAAGGATGAACAATATTTAACATCTAGACAACCTGAACAACCTTTATCTCCTACCCTGCCACTTTTTAGATGATTGTTGGCTGAGTAATTGTTGCCTATTTTCTTTTTTGGTTACAGGGCCGAACTCCTGATTATGGAGCAAGCATCTCCACCCAGACTAACCAAGCCGAACCCCTGTGTTAGGGAACAGGCATCTCCTAATAAAGAAGCAGTAATTGCAATTCTCATTTAGCTCCCTTTTAGTTGAGTATATGTAAAAACCTATATATGTTTTGGTGTTTGTCAGTTTAATTGAGAAGAGTTTGGCTATTTTTTCGTTATTAGTATAATTTGATTGCATGAGATAATTAATAACATCCACATACAAAGCAAAACTAGTGGCATATTGTGAGCCAGGGATTTTCGGGTAGGGGTGCAAAATTGATTCTGAGAAATGATATTCTACTAGCGTAATTTTGCAAAATGATGATTTGCAGTTAGTTAGTTTGGTATCCTTCTTAAGCCCTTCTTGATAGTTAATATCATGTTAACGTGAAAACATTTTAAACTAGATTTCGGTATGAACGAGTCATTTATGATTGCAAGATGATTAATTTTAATAAAATTATAGTAAAACATAATAATTTAGAAACTATCCACCCAATAATGGCTACTCACTTCTGTATCTTCTCTTTCTTAATATCTTGCGGGGGAAAACGAAAGAAAATGAAACACTATGCTTTATTACCAAATTTTAGAAAAAACAAACACATTCCAAGTTGAAAGTTGAAAGTACACAAACAAAATAGTGAACCTTCAAATGTTCATTCTACATTTTCGTGAAAACTCTTTTTTTGAGGCAATATATAGAATTCTAAGAAGATCATATGTGACTCTAAAGCATTTAAAGAGAAGTTAAATTTTGCACATCAACTAAAGCAGATTAAATTTTTTTTTTTGTTAAATTACTACATAGTCCTGTGGTTTCAATCATTTACTAGACTATTGAGTAACACTACTTCATGTAGATTTATGTAAAGTGAATAATTGACGGAAAAACATCTATAACCTATTCGTTAAAATGTCAGTATTGTTCTTAGATAAGTACTAAATAGGTCGAAATTAACTACTTTACTTAAAATCACGAAGAGATTATGTAGATATATGTAAAATCACAAGTGTATATCATAATTAATTTCAGCAAGCATTTTTTTTGAAATGTGTTTGGGTCAACCAATTTCCGTCCATTTGTCACTTTTCATAAAATTATAGGAGAGTAACATATAATCTTTGAAACTTAAGAAGATCATGTGCTAACGTGGAAAATTGTAAAGGGTAAATAATAATTTACCAACATAATTTGGATAAAATTTTAACCTTGTTCATAAGGTAAAATTTAGGAGCATGGGATCAATGGAATTTTTTTAAAAATTCTTACGGGAGGGTGAAGGAGTGGTTAGTCGGCTCCTTTCGTGTTGGCCATATACTTTTATTTGGGAGCAAGTATTTATGTTCGCCAGATATGATAAGAATGAATTTCTAGTCTGTAAACGCCACAACTGAAGTCACGGGAAGCAGATCCCAGGAACCGACCAAGAAATGAACCTCATGCCCGTCTTTTCAACAGCAAGCAGAAGTCAAGAATGTGAAACCAAACCGAGGAATAGAAAGCATGGTACATATGCAGGAGGAATCCAGGCAAACGGATGAGAAAAAAAAAAAGAAGATAAACCCTAATTGAGACGAAAAGTTTTGCATGAATTATGTTCAACAATAGATGACTGATCATTTGCATTATCTGACATGGTACTTTTTTTTTTATTATAGCGATAACATTTGTATAATTTACTTTAGTCTAATTTAAGAGAAGGAAAAAACCAACAAACAGGATTCCGTCAGAAGGAAGTCACCTGAAAGTGACAGTCACAATTAAGTGATAAATATATAATGAGAGGTTAAGAGCAAGATTTAAAATTTTGATGATTACCAACAACTCAAGAGACTGTTGGCATCCGACATGGAAGGGATGGCAATGGGGGCGGGTGCCCGCCCCGCGAGGGTAGAAATGGGGCGGGGGATGGGGCAACGTACACCCGCCCCGTCCCCCGCATAAATATATATATATATATATATATATATATATAAGATGTTTGTCTAAAAGCCTTAATGAAAATGTAAATATGTGAGTCTAATGAAACAAGAATTCTTTCCATGGCCTATGATATCGTTTATAAGCAGTTCCAACAACCATGGGTTTGTTTTTCCCTTCATTTTACTGATTTTCTCTTTTATGTTTTCCATTGATCTTTGCCTTTTGTTATTTCTGGATTTTAACTGTTCTTGGTATTTTTTATTAGTGTTTGAGAATTCTTCCTGTCTCCTGTTAGTTCTCAAAAATGCTTGGACAAATGAGGAGAGTTTTGCTTTTCATAAGTTGGTTTCTTTCCTCGCGGAAGACCACGGGGGAAACGGGGTGGGGGCAAGGCGGGGGATAGGGGGCAAGAGACGGGGGATGGGGTGGGGGACGGGGGGAATTATTTGACAATGGGACGGGGGATGGGGGAAGGATCCCCCGTCCCACCCCCACCCCATTGCCATCCGTACATGGAAGTGGAAGAAAATGGTGCTAGTACAGGACACAGTACTAGCTTTCTAAGGTTTTCGACCAGCCCGAAAATTATGTGGTCACCTGAAGAACAGTTACCAATAAGCAAACCTTACATGGTCAGTTGAAGAACAGTTGCCGATAAGGTAACCTCGTCTCTTTTTAACTACTCTAACTGTAGCTTAAAGGGACATTGGTATCATCTAAATTTTTCCTACCTAAGATGGTAAAACATCAGGATTCATGAGCAAACAGCAAAAATATAAAATTACTGTTCAACCTCTGCGATCAAAAAGTTTAAAAGTTCAATATACTCAATAGATGGGTTTTTCTTTGTCACCCTTCCGTTATGACTGCTTTACCAAACATGAGAACTTTTGTTATCAATAGAAAGTGCCCCTTCAAAGAATTAATTCTTCAGTTTCAATCAAATGGATTGATTAATATGCAATGGGTTGAATATTTATTCATGAAAAAGAAAAAGAAAAAGAAAAAAAAAGAAGAATGCCAACAGGACCTTATCCAGATTCAATCTCCAGATGGCCTATCCAGATTCAATCTCCAGATGGCCTGGCAAATGTATACGTTTGTTGTCTTTTCTTTTGGCTGCTAATACTCTGATCATAGCCGAACAATCTACTAAAGAAAATGATAGGTATGTATATATGTTATCTATTTTTCGAAGAGAAGCATTAGATGACTTAAGTAATGAAACAAAAGCCTATTTGATCATTTCAAGTGTGAGAACTTGTATTTTTTTTAATAAATAATTAAATAACCAATTGATTATTTATGATAAACTCAGTCCAAAGCCCTAAGAATCATGTTGGCGTTACGCATATCGGTACACGTAAAGGAACCAAACTAGAACTAATTCCTGATTGCAGTTTTTTTGAATCATTAAAATGTCATAGGGCTAAAATATGATGTATTAATCATGCATTTAATTTACTTAGAATGTTGTTGTAGTGACCGATCATTATAAGTAGTATGATCCTGAAAAAAAAAAAAGGGGTTCTGTAAGTACTTTTCTAATTTTTCTTCTTATAATTCAGCTAAAAAAGTGATTGAAAAAATATAGATGAAAATAAAATCGTGTGTCATGTAGACTATCATTTCCCTACTAGTACTATTCTTGTTAAAGTGTCTAATCATATGGGTCCAGTGGTTTCAATTTCAACATCGAATTCCTTATCTTTTATTTTTTTCATTTTAGTTTTTGATTGGCTAAAATAGCTAATATTTGATCCTTCAACTACTAACTGACAGTTGGTCCATTACCTTCCTGAAGTGGTCCGTGAAAAGAGCATCAATGTCAAGATATCTTCACCTTCACAGTTCACACTCACCATTCTACCTAAGCTTATTTTGATTCAGTGGCAACTCATGCTCACCAAGCAGTCTTCTAAGCCAAACCATGCAAATGCATGCAAACTGAATTAAATACGAAGCAGACCCCTCAATTAGATACGCCTACCTTATCCACTCAGTTCAAGTGAATGGACCATATAGTATGATATACATGAGAAGCTCTCACCAGCTAGCAAACTCATGATGTACTTCAATTCTCTTGGTAAGGTCGCAGCTCAAGCAACCCTAGATACTAATGTGATCTTGCGAACATGTTTGGGTGGGGCATGTGTCTTTGTTTTGGGAGGGTTGATAGGGTCTTTGCACGGACAGCAAATTAGCCAGAAGACCGAAGGAGAGTTGTATAGGCAAACCTTGTCCTATGCTACTTTCCATAGATACTCTGGAAAGCAACAGCAAACCACCGGTCCAAGTCAACTTTTTCACAACCCTGATACCAAGAAAAATGGCTCCTTTACTAGTATAAAGTGTACATCATCTATTAGGCATATTACCTTTTCGATCTATTCCACCCTTCCCTTCCACCAACCACTCGTTCTCCTTAACAAATGCACAAGTCTAGACAGATAGAGTAATACAATGAGGAAGCCTTGCTGTGATAAGGAAGGCATGAATAAAGGATCTTGGTCCCCGCAAGAAGATCAGGAGCTCATGGATTATATCAAGAAACATGGTGAAGGTCATTGGCGAAACATCCCCAAAGCTACAGGTGTTTTACCGTACTCATTCATCCATCTAAATGTTTTAATTTATATGAAATAAAAGAACAAGAGAAAGTTTTTGTTTTGTTTTTTTTCTCTCTAGAACAAGAGGAAGTTCTTTGGGAAGGAACGTGGTTAATCTTGTCTAGACTCCAAAATGCATCATATTGCAGCACAAAATAACATTAACTCAAGTACTCTTTAAGATTTTATTAACCAGAGCAGACAATTGATACAAAATAAAATGAATCCATATTGATTTATGTTTCTCAACTTTGTTCTTTCTTTTGATCAGGCCTGCTTCGTTGTGGCAAAAGTTGTAGGCTAAGATGGGTAAACTATCTAAGGCCAGACCTTAAAAGAGGAAACTTCGCTGAAGATGAAGAAGACCTTATCATCAGGCTTCATGCCCTCTTAGGCAACCGGTATGAATATGGTTCCCCAAAAAAATTTTTTTTTTGAGTAAATTGTCGAGCCGGCCTAAACTATTAGTATTTTTATACACTTTTGGCCCTAAATTATACTGTGCATCATATGAATCCTTAACCAAGTTAATGTGAAAGCTTTTTGGTCATTCTATCAATTTTTGCTATTTCAGCTACAAGAATGGAGGGACAATTCTATTCATGCACAAAAGAAAAAAAAAAGAAAAA